AAAAGGGATAAATCTCCTTTTTAAATCTGGTCAATTTGGCCGGATTTAAAAAGGAGATTTATCCCTTTTCTATTGAACAGCGCCCATATTTCGAAAATACTTTAAGTGGGCGTGGTGTACAACATGTAGGGATGGGCAAAGTAATTTATTAAGTAATAATTACTTATGATTTATCCTTTATCAAATATTATGTAATTATTACATTACTATTACTTATTACGTATATACGTATAGATGAATCATACGGCGAATCGATTAAAAAACTTTCGAAGCTATTGTATATAACTGAAATAGACTTTAAATAATAAATTAATTAATTTGTAGCGATAAGTACCTATGATATAATAATTACCTAAACAAATATTTTATTTTATATTATTATGATATATCGAACAATTTAGAGATTTAAATAAATAAAAATTCGTTAATACTGTAAAAAAAATTGAAACTTGTTTATTATGTCAAATTGGCCTTTACAAAGTCCAGATATTCAATACTTTCTTCGTACTCTTCCAGCTCAAAATTCTGCTGGTCATCCGCTTGGCCCTCTTTGGCAAGCTTTTTATCCAGTCCAAACTGACAAAAAACCAAAAGCAAAATGCATTTTTTGTAGTCCTGATAAACCTATATCAGGTACCGCAGCAGTGATGAGTTCACATGTTAAACGATGTATTAAAATTCCTTTAGAAGTTCGTACATATCTTCTTGATGCCTATGCAATTCAGCAAAAAAAAATAGTAAGAGATTCAATTCCTATACAAGATCAACAACTTTGCATTTCATCAGATGAATCAATTACACCTTCTATGTCAGCTTCGAATTGTTCAATTGCTTCTATACAAGCAAATCATTTTTTTTTACTACCACTACCAGTTGATATAAATGAATCTAATAATTTATTATTAGAAGCTATAATAGAAGGTGGAGCTCCTCTTTCTTTTGTAGAATCAAAAAAATTTAAACAGTTTGTTTATTCAATCAATACATGTTATCATGTTCCAGCAAGAAAGCAACTTTCAAATAAAATTCTTGATGATGTTTATAAAAAAGTTCAAAAATCAATTTATCAATTTTATTTGCAAGTCTAATTGGATTTCTATTGCGACAGACGGATGGACAAACATTCATCAAGATCATATTATAAATTTTATGGCTATTGGAAAAAATCGACAAGTTGAGCTAGTAAAAATTAAGGATACTTTTGGTGAAAGTCAAAATTCGATGGTTATTTTTAGAGATTTAGAGAATACTGTAATTCAAGTTGGTATTGAAAAAATTAATGCAATTATTACTGATGCAGTAGCTAATTATGTTCATATGAAGGCAATGTTTAATCAACAATATTCAAGAATTTTATCTTTGCCATGTACTGCACATGAAACAAATTTGTTAGTTGGAAATATGTTAAAACATACATATATGAAATCAACTATTAGCTTGACTGTAAAAATTATTTCTTATTTTCAAAAAAGCACTCAAGCTATTCAGTATATTCGTACTCGAACAAATAATAATATATTTCGATTTACACTTCCTACCTTTACACGATAGAATTCTTTTTTTGTGTCTTTACAACAGGTACAAAATAATGAACAATATTTAAAGATGCAGCATATAAAATAGGATCACGATTAGATAAATATATCGTATCAATTCTTAAAGATAATGTATTTTGGAATCATTTGTGAAATATTATTCATATATTGGGATTGTATTCACATATTTCAATTATTTTAGAATCTAAATATACTACTCTTGCAGATGTTATTTATTTATAAGCTCGAATGCAAATAACTGTTAATATTATTGATGATAACACTTTTCAACAATATATTAGTGCACGAATTCAATATCGATAAAATTGAATGTATAGCTCAGTTTTTCTTATATGTTGGTCTCTTCATCCAAAATATACACTTGCACAAGCTATTCATCCAGAGCTTGCAACTCTTATTAAAAAGGAAGCTAGTCTTTTATTTGAACGACTCTTTCCAAATAAAGATATTAAAAAGTTTCGAATATAATTAATTGATTGGAATAATAAGACTTATCCTTTTAATTTTGAAGGTAATTGGGATGATTATCCTATTAAGGATCTAGTATATTTTTGGAATAATTTTCAAAGTGAAATTCCCGAATTGGCACTTTTTGCTTCTCGAATTATGAGTATACCACCAACATCAGTTGATAGTGAACGGTTTTGGTTAGTAATTTCAAACATATATACACCACAATGGAACAGATTAACAAATGACCATGCATTTAAATTAACATGCATTCAATGGCACATGGCTCAAAAAGAAAATATCTCTCTCAAGCAAAAAGAAATTGATAATCTTAGTCAAATTCTTCAACAAGATATTACTATGTCTAATTCCGAGGTAAGTAGAGAAAAAAGTTCATCTATTAATATTTTATCTATTAATAGTGAAACAGGTAATTCGGAAAAGAATTATGAAGATGAGTCTCAAAATTTGGAAGAATCCAGAAACTCTCAAAAGTTGGAGGAATCTGAAAACTCTGGAAACCCTGAAGAAGAAAAAATGAAAACAATTGAAAATATCGATATATTAGATTCTAATGATCAAAATGCATATTGTGAAGTTGTGAGCGAATATAGTCAAGTTGTAAGTTATAATGAGAATGTATTAGAAAATTGGTTGCTTTTTGATAAATTAGATAATATTTGATTTAGCCATGTTTTGTTTTCGCTACGTAATAAAAATTATATTTGCTGCTAAAAATAGAAACAGCGTAAGCATCACTTATTATTACTTAATGCAAAAAATCTTGTGTAATATTTAGTAAAATTAAGTAAAAATACGTAATTTTATAGCCCATCCCTAATCTATACCGGTAATTAAAATTATTAATATCAGATATAATAAATTTATTTCGAAAATAATGAGAGTTTAAAAGGTTCTGTTTTCTGTTTTAAATTCCAAATCTGAAAATTTTCCGGTGATAAAAAATCAGTATCTTTTAATAATATTTATTAGTAAGCAATTATGCAAATAAGTTTATACTTTTGAAAAATAATTTCATTAATTCTAAAATTTTCCGTTAGGGTAATTTTGTAAACGATTGAAAGAATTTGTAATACATTCATTTTTCCAAAAAATATCTGGTTGCTTAATTCTCTCCCGACGATTTGGTATTATTATCTTTATGAATTTTGTAAAATTATTTGGTAATCTGTGTATAGTGCAAGCATTTAAAAGCCACAAAACCAGGTTATAAGACTACAATATTAGGGGGTTTCAAAGTTAAAATGCGGAAATCCAATTTTAATTGAAATTGATGATGTATTTATTTTGAAATAAGTGATCTAGCAATCTGATCTTATCTTCAACTTGAATGAAAGTTTTACTTTTTATTTTATGAAGTATTATAAAAATTTTCTGATTTTATGAAATGGTGATCTCCAAACACTTCTATTTCACTTTCTGATTTTAAAATCTTGAAAAACAAATAAGGTTTTTCAAACTCTCATTTAATTTCAAAATGCGCCACTTATTTGTTAACTTTGAAACCCCCTATTTGGAGATGTAAACATACCGATACATGTTATTTTCAAGTATATAATACTAGTTTGAAGTAACGTAAATACAATTTCGATATAAACAAATCAATCAAATTTTGTATTAGTACATAACTCATGATCGTGTAAAGAAATTTCAAGTCTTATCTAGTGCTAAACTTAGTGCTGCAGAACAGTTGTCTCTCTCTCTGGCCGTAACTCTGTATAAGGAATTAAAAATTTAATCATGTAGATAGTAACTATTATATATACATAATTTCTCGTTTATACAGTTCTTTTCACTAACAAATGAAGATCTACAATAATCAAGTTACAGTGTGCTTTTTACAAAATATTGACTAGCTCATAGGACCTGGCGTTGCTCAGGTTTGAGGTTCTAATGTTATTCTAATTCTTAGGTCTTAATTTTTTTAATTCTTAGGTTTTAATTATTTATATTCTTTTAGAAAAATTAAATTTTAGAACCCAGGCATTGCCCAGGTTTTAAAATCTAATTTTTATTAATTTTTGGATTTTAATTATTTATATTTTTTTTTTCTAATTTTTCTTGTTTTTATATAGTAATAGTCACAAAACATGTTCATATATGAGAGTTTAGAATATTGTTACTTATAAATCAAATAAATTGATACACCTAATTTTATATGTAAATTTTTACAAAAAAATTGTTAAAATTAAATTTATTTAAAAATATATATATAAACCTTTCTTTAAATTTTAAATATAAAAGGTGTAGCAGCTTAGTGAGGTATCTAATTGTCATCTTTTCAAGTGGCAGGTCTAGAGTTCAAATTCCACAGATGACGATTTTAAAAAATTAAACCTATGTTTGGTAATGATTATCTATCAATCAGTTGGATTTACAATCTGTAATCTTAGTTGCACCATCTTGTTATGAGAGCTTTGGTATATAAATACCAAGAAACTGAAATAATTGAAACCTGTTTGGGAAGACCTAAGTAAGAAATAGTAGAAACTTTTGACAGTGCTACAGGAAAATTGAATTTGGAACTAGAAACTGAGACAGAAGAACTGAATAACCAGATCCTTAAGTGGGGAACACACTAGCTGAACCACCATATTACCAACTAGAGAAAAAGGACATGTACTCTGAAAACATGTACTAAGGAAAAGCAGACCATAAGGCACCTAAAGCCTGGGCAGACCAACTCTTCCAGGTTGCTAGCTGGAAACAAGGGAGAGACCAATAAAGAATCTGGGAAAAAAAAAAAGTTCAAATATGGATACTGGGGTGGAAATAAACCTTACAAGGGCAGGAGATATGTATGGCTTAGGTAACTAGATTTACTAGTATATGAGTAAAGCCATAGCACAATATCTCTGAACTAAATCTGGAAACATGTGGAATGTAGAAGGATTTAGGAAGATATCTACTATGCCTTTCCTCGGGTAAATACTAGTTGATTAGATTCAAAAGGTTTATCTATAAAGAGGTAAAAGTTAGTGGGGAAATGCCAGCCTGAGTAGCCATTATGCAGTACAAGATGAGATAGTTTGAACCAAATGAGGCAGTGTAGAACTGAGAATACCAGAAAGTTTAAACAAATAACCCCTAGTTGGGTTATAGATATAATATCTAGTATAAAATCTTTGGGCAAACTACTTAAATAGGTATCCAAAAGATGCACATGTGGCTTGATACTCTCATAGATCTAAAAATATATTTACAGCATGTAATAATACAAAAATATAATAACATTTAAATGTTACTCCTAATAAAGTTTGTCTATCATAGAGTGTGGTGACTTAGTGAAGTAGTGAAGTTGTCACACCCCTAGATGGCAAATCTAGAGTTCGAATTCCATGGATGATATTTTCAAAAAATAGCCCTGTGATATAATTAATAGCTATTACTATTAGTTAGATCCTAATCTGTAACCTTGGTCACACTATCTAGAATGGGAACTTTGGCGCATAAAATCCAAGGAACTAGAATAACTAAAAACCTATTTGGCAAGTTCTGAGTTAGGAAGTAGCAGTAATCTTCGATGATGCTACAGGAAGACTGAATTTGGAATTGGAGACCTGAGATCAGAGAACTGAGCAACCAGGTCCTTAAGTGGGAAAACACACCAGCCTAACCACCAGCCCACCACTGAAGGAAAAAAACTTGTGCTCTGGAAGCATGTACCAAGAGGTGGGAGATTGTAAGGCATCTAGAGCCTGGGCAGACCAACCCTTCCAGGTTGCTAGCTAGAAGTAAGAAAAGGACCGGTAAGAAATTTGAGAAAGAAGGTAGTTGGAATGTGGGTACCAGGATTGTTGTAAACCTTGCAAGGGTAGGAGTACATAAGTGGGAACTAATTAGAAAGGTTGTGACACAGATTAGGTTATGGCAATATCTGAAAGAATAGTTTGAAATACAAACCTAATGGCAGTAGCACAACATGTACTAGTTGGAAAAAAGTTACCAAACATGCAGATAAGCACATATGTGGGACATGTACTGCTCTGTTAGATTTACTACAAGGATAAATGCCTGTTGTAGCTAAAATTTTAGAGTCATTTATGGCAATTGCTAATTCCGAATAGGTGTTAGAGTAGAGCATGTTACAAAAGTAGAAGCTAGAGAATTTAAATGGGTAACTCCCTAGTTGAGTTATAGATATAGTAGCTAGTGTGGAACCTAGGGCAGACTACTTAAATAAACAACCAAAAGTTATATGTATAGCTAGTCGTATTCTTGTTAGAATAACCAGAGAGCTTAAATAGATAATCTCCTAGTTAGATTGCAAGTATGGTGGCTAGTGTAGAACCCAGGCGAACTACTTAAATTAGGCACTCAAAAGGCATATGTGTGGCTAGTTGTATCCTTGTGAAATAGATATAATATTATAACTATCTAAATAAAGCTCATACCAATGGCCTAAGTAGTTACCTTAATATTAAAAAAAAAAAAGTTTACCTGTCATAGCAATTTGGCAATATAAAAAAAAAAAAAATTTTAAATATATATTGTTTAGCATTTAATAATCTTTTGTTTAAAGTTTTAGTTCTTAATTTTAAGTAGAGGGATAGGAATTTTTTACTAAAGTTAATTGAATATAGTAAAAAATCTGGTGTATATATTATTTAAAAATCTGCTATAGATTATCAAATATGAAAATAGTAAAATTTAACTAACAATTTAATCGAATATTTATTATACAAAATAATTCAAAATTCAACATTTATAAGAATATGAAAAATTGAACTATTATATTACAATTACCATTATCTAAAATAATACCCAAACACATAAGGAAAATAAGCTTTATTTATTAGAAATATTTAAATTTTGAAAGATTAGAATTCTGCAAACAATACTTATAATTAGTAACTTGAATTGGTTGGGCTATAATTAGTTAATTAATCTGAACTAAATAAATTTTGGTTAATGATTGAGAAAATTCTTAATCAGTTAATCTGATACAACTCAAAATGATAGCATAGTTGTAGAGATATTATAGCTATTTTTATTATTCCTGGAATACCTGATAAAAATTGACCGAATAATATTATGGCTAATTCAATTATATTTGTTATTTCAGCATGATTCGTATAATAAAAGCTATATTTATATATCTTAATCGTTTTAAAAATCATTATAACAATAATGTTAACATTATTAAATTTTTGTTCGAATGCTTGTTCAACATGTTTGATATGTCTAGTTTGCACAAAAATTTATAGAAAAAACAGCTCTTGTCAACTAATAAACCTTAGCAAGAAACATAAAAGGAGATCTAGATATAAGTTAGACTTTAATAACAAATATATCATATGAATAGATGCCAATATTAGAAAAGTTAAATATAATCATAAATTTGTTGACTGGTTTAAAAATAAATCTCGAGTTAAGATTCCAAAGAACAAAATTTTATTAATATTTATCGAGAATGTATAAAGAATTATGATAAATGAAATCAAAATAAAAAGTTTATATATTTATATTATCTTTGTAGTATTGAAACATTTACTTTATAAAGTGTGGCAACTTAGTAAAGTGGTGGAGTTGTCGCACCCCAGATGGCAGATCTAGAGTTTGAATCTCACAGATGATGTTTTCAAAAAATAGCCCTGTAATACAGTTAACAGCTATCACTATCAGTTAGATCCTAATCTGTAACCTTGGTCACACCATCTTGAATGGAGCTTTGGCACAATAAATCCAAAAAACTGAAATAACTAAAAACTCGTTTGGCAAGTCCTGAGTTAGAAAGTAGTAGTGATCTTTGACGGTGCTACAGAAAGACTGAATTTGGAACCAAAGACCAAGATTGGAAAACTGAATAACCAGGTCCTTAAGTAGAGAACACACTAGCCGAACCACTAGCCCACCACCGAAGGAAAAGAACTTGTGCTTTAGAAGCATGTACCAAGGAGAGGGAGACTGTAAGGCACCTAGAGCCTAGGCAGACCAACACTTCTGGGTTGCCAGCTAGAAGTAAGAGAGGGACCGGTAAGGAATCCAGGAAAAAAGGCAGTTAGAATATAGGTACTAAAACCATTGTGAACCTTGCAAGAGCAGAAATATATAAGTAGAAACTAATTAGGAAGGTTGTAGCTTGAAATACGAATTGGGTTATAGCAGTATCCAAAAGAATAGCTTGAGATATGAACCTGGTGACAGCAGTACAACATGTACTAATTGGGAAAAAGTTACTAAACATGCAGGTGAGTACATGTGTGGGACATGTACTGCTCTGTTAGATTTGCTATAAAGATAAATGCCCCAATATGGTTTGGCTAAAGTCTTAGGATCATTCATAGCAATGGCTAATCTCATATAAGTGTTAGGATAGGGCATGTTACAAAAGTGTTAGCCAGAGAATTTAAATAGATAACTTCCTAGTTGGGTTATAGGTATAGTTGCTAGTGTGGAATCTAGAGCAGACTACTTAAATAAGCAACCAAAAGTTGCATGTATAGCTAGTTGTACTCTCATTAGAAATAACCAGAGAGCTTAAATAGATAATTTTCTAGTTAGATTGCAGATATGGTGGCTAGTGTAATACCCAGGCGGACTACTTAAATTAGGCACCCAAAAGGTGCACGTGTGGTTGGTTGTATTTTCATAAAACAGATATAATATCATAACTACCTGAATAAAGCTCATGCTAATGGCCTAAATGGTCACCTTAATATATATATATAAAAAAAAAAAAACATTTACTTTATAATAATAATTAAATTTTATATTGAGACATTCGTAAAATAAAATTGTTTCTATCAACTTCATTTCTTTCTTTCACAAGTTTTAAAATCTATAGAATTAAAATATTGACAAAATATTACTTTTTTATATATTTGAAGTATGAATAAATACAGAAGCGAGCTTTTTAGTACTAGTTGTATTTGCTACAAGCATTAAAGTTACTTGTGCCTTTTTTTTTTGTAACCTGGGACAGGTTCTTTTGCCAGGGTCTTGGATAGATGCATCTTCTAATAAAGAGCTATTTTGTTTATATTCCAAATATTGTCAAGGGTATAGCCTTCACAAATTTTTGAAGATTTTCTCTATATTTATTTAAAGATTCTGCTGGGGGCACTAGCAGCCTCATCATTTTTATTATATTAATGGAGATCTAATCGTTTCTGAAATCCATTAATTCAACCAGTACTTTTAAAATCAGGAATATTTAATGCTATAGCAAAAATCTTGGCTTTAGTAAGAAGAACAGCTTGTGTTAGATCCATATTTGCTGCAAGTGCACTTTTAACCCAAACTTGCATAGCTTTGTCTAATTTAGACTATTTAGGTTGATGTTCATATTTATGACTTGCCTTAGCTTTGTTGATTGTATCAATATTTAGCTACTTTGAGGATTAATTGAGTATATCAAATATATATATATCTTTTGAATACCATATTCTTTCATGAGTTCATTATTTAAAATAGAAAGAAACTTTCTTTTTTTTTTTACAAATTTCTTTCTTCTGTTTAGCAAAAGGATGTTTTCTTTTAACAGGTAAGGGGAGTGACAAAAATCAGGTAATTTTTTAGGGAGGTAGGGAGGTAAAAAAAGTTAAAATTATATATAAAAACCTGATCAAATATATAATAAGAAAGGGGAAGAGGGGTATGCTTCTGATAAAAAAAAAATCAGGTGATAAATGACACTACCCTAACATGTTAGTAGTAGTAATTATTTTTACTGTAGTAAAAGGTAAACAGACGTGTTCGTGTTAGTATTATATTTATTTAAAAAAAATATTCTGGTATATACCAGTACTTGTAATCGAAAAAAATGTCCCAGTACATACTGGTACTTGTAATCGAAAAAATAAAAGCATTTGAAAATACTTTATTTTACAATATCAAACTATTAAATATAATACACAAAAAAGTATAGTAATATCTTTACAAAATGCTTCTGGAGTACTTTCACAGAGTAAAAAGATAAAGTAGATATAGTATAATATAACAAGGACCCTGGATAATACTAATAGAGATGTGAGTATTAAACCAGACAAGAAATTTTAAAATTTTAACAGAGATTATATTATTAAAAAGGCTTTTTAATTAAAACTAGTAATATTAAACTAGTATTAGAAAAAAAAAGCTATGTGTTTAAAGTGGACATGATTTTATTGAAATAAATATCTAGTATTATTAAAGAATCCATAAGATATATTTTTCCAAAATCCTGAAAAAATCTGAAATAAAAAATAAATGATCCTAATATATGAGCAAGGTTGGGCAAATTTTTTGGCATAATCCTGAAATGTTTCAAAATAAAATTATAAGTTAGAATATTAAATAGGCATATAAATCGAAATTTAAAGGGTACAGTACTTAAAATGGACAAAATTCAGAGTCTTAAAGTAGACAAAATGGTCAAAAATTTACTATTAACTCATCTTGTATCCCTGTTAGTATTATCCGGGGTCCTATATAACAGCATTAGATATTCAGTTATTCTTTAGTTTAAAAGAGGAAAAAAAAACTAACAATTCAATCAATAAGCCGTCAAGAAGGGAAAAAAAATTCATATCTTTTATCAATAATATTTGTATAGCCTGAGTCCCATTGTAAGAAGGTATAAGAACTATGTTAAAATACAACAAAAAAAAAATTTAAAAGTACATTCAGTAAGTCTTTAAAAAGAAAACTAATAAAGTATAGTGATTTGTAATAATGCATTTTGATTGGCTGTCTTACAGATATATTATAAAATCTGTTATATAGATTGATATTAATTAGTATAATTGATACGTGGGCTAGTAAAAGCCTTCGTTATATACAATATAGATGTTTTATTATTAAGTCTATTATAACCATTCTAAATTATTTATTAAAAAATAGATTCTTTGTTTTTAGTTTGTTAAACCCATTAATCCGGTATAAAGGTGTTTGTTATATCCATAGATAACTGTATATACAATAAATCTAAAGGCTTATCTATTGAGTCAGTAAATAAGCAACTAACCAAATTACAAAGAATTAAAGAACAAATAAAAAGTTACCAATATGAGTTTAGTAAACCAATATATATAGAACACCAAACAATATCAAAATACAAAATAAATGATTTAGCAAGTAAAAAATTATTCAAAAATAAAACTCAAGAAATAAATAACAATTAATAAAAAACATAATAAAAGGATTAACAGAAGAAGTAGAAACAATAATAAATACAAATAGTATATCTAGTATAGAATCATTAAAACCAAAAATACAACAAATAATTAATAAACAAAATCAAAACTTTAACCAAACCTTCTGACGATTTCTCATACCAAATCACAACAAACTTTTTTTCATAAAAAAACAGTAAATTATGGCAGAAAAGAAGAAAATAAGACTGGTCAAAACTATAAACTAGCACCTGTTATTTAGAAATAGTTTTTATATGCAACTTGCTAATAGACTCAAAGCTTATTACTCACTATGGAGATGATATTTGTTATTTAGAAGTAGTTCTTATACACTATTTGCTAACAAGTTCAGGGTTTATTACCTACTAACAAGAAAACTAGCAGTATACTTGGCTCTATACGTTGTATTAGTTTTGAAAAAAAATATACTTTCTTTTAAGAAAAGTACAAGAGCTATACTATATACTATCACCCACTTACTTTTTCAACAAAATTTTTATAAAAAGTGGGCAAAACAGCTTACTTCTGTTAAAAGATCGGCATTGTTTACTTTATACAAATCAAAACATTATAGTAAATTGCAACTACACTTTTTGTTTACCAATGAATATAGTGCTATTTCACATGACAAGGCCTCTACCTAACAAGCCACACACAGATGTTTGAATTATCAATAAGAAAGTTTTTTGTTAAGGCATAGCTTTATAGTAAAGATATACAAATATTGTATTTGTTATATAATTTTTTAAGCTTTGTACAAGTTATAATAGTGCATTTTTGTTTCTTTTTTTTTTTTTTGTCAGTTTCAGTATTTTTTCTTTTGTTATTTTTCTTTTTTCTCTTTTTTCTTTGTTAGTTTCTATTATCTTTCCTTTTTTTTTTTCTTTTTTTGTATTAGTTTTTTCCTTTTATTAGTATTTTCATTTTCTTGATAGCATATTATACTTTTCTTTCTTTTTCAATTTGCTCTTTATAAAGAAGAAAAAATTTTAAGAAAAGGAGTACAATCCTGACATGGCATTAACAACTATTTAGTAATATTGAAAAACAAGTTTCAAGTATAGTTTGAGACCCTAACAGAGATAAATAATTATATAGCAGGTCGCACCTAGATACTTTGGTATCGAGTGAATCTTTCTTATGCTTTTAGATAAATTGTATACTATTGTAAATAGCAATAGTCACTATAAATTCTTTTTTGTAAGTAACAGGGAACTAAATTAGGAAGGTTGTGGCTTGAGATACAGATCGGGTTGCGGCAGCATCCAAAGATGGCTTGAGATACGAACTGGGTGACGGCAACACAGCAGGTACTAGTTAAGAGAAATGTTACCGAACACGCAGGTGAGCACATATGTAAGACATATACCATTCTGTTAGGTTTATCACAATGATAAATGCCCCCCGTTCTGAAAGGAATGAGTGTTGGTTTGGCTAAAGTCTTAGGGTCTTTAATGGTAAATTACCCTGAAAGGGTATATTAGGAGGAAGCATGGGACAGAGGTTGTACCAAAGAGTTTAAATAGATAGCTTTCTAGTTAGGCTATAGGTATAGCAGCTAGTGTAGAACCTTCGGGCGGACTACTTAAATTAGATAACTAAAAGTTATACGTGTAGCTAGTTGTACTCTTGTAATACTGATGTAATATGTGGTCAAGTCTTCAGATATATGGCCTAACCACTTGTACTAATAAAGTGCCAAGAGCCTAAGTAGTCACCTTAATATTAAAAAAAAAATAAAATAAAATAAATTTGCAAATTGGGTTTGGGATCCTATGGTCTAGTAGTCTAAACACCCAACCCTTCACAAGCAGATTTTAGGTTCAAGTTCTAGTAGATACAGATTCTATAAATATTTGAATATACTTACTGTAGGAAGTTCAAGTGAGTACAAGTCTGGATTAGAAATTTCTGAAAAAAGGTTTATTGTGAAGAAGTTGGCACTATATATAATTATAGTTGTTATAGAAGGTTCTATTATATAAAGGTTGTGTATGTAAATCCTTGGCTGGTATAGATAGCACCAACAACTCTAAAGTAGCATTAGAATTTTGTTTAAGAGAATAACTAGGCAGTAACTAGAATTGGAATAGTGAGAAAAGTAGTGAATACAAAAGAATCTGTAGTAAAAAAATTGGCCTTATCAGATTTGAAACACCTCTAGCACTATATAGAATTACTTATCAAAAAGAGGCTAAAGCATAGAGGTGTATACATATCAAAACCCAATAAAGCTCTAGGTATATTCATATAGGAGTTTTCAGATATTATGAGAGTCTGGAACAACCAAAACTAGTGTAGTTAGTACAAGTGTATGCAGTATATAACTGAGGCTACAACTGCCAAGAATTACTATAAAAAAAAAAGATAACACACCTGTTATGAACCTCTAAGCCTCATGATGCTATCCAATTATAAAAGACTTTGAAGTACAAGATAACCTATTATGAAACATGCCCAAACACTTTATTATCATAGAAAGAAGTATAGCTATTTACATGATTACCAAATTTGATATATTAAGACCTAGGTCCTGAAAGTTATAGAAAAGTTGGTAGTTATAGTAGTATGCAGGTTTAAGATACTTACTCAATACAGTAGAGGCAGCTGCATAGCTTGAGATACAAACCCCTAACAAGTATACCAAGTAGAGATACAAACTAGATATACCAAATTAAAAGCAAAAAGTACCTATTTGAAACATTAATATACCAATTTGAAAGTTGAGATAGTAGGTAAAATAAGTAAAGCAAAGGATATATAAAATTAATTAGAGGTGAGTAAGTATATACAAAATCCAGATCAATTATATATACAGAAATGTTAATAGCTCTGATAGATTTTAGCTATAAATAAATAGTTTGTATAAAGTTCTAGTCTTAATACTAATATATAATATATATATATTTATAGTACTACTATATGTCAATTCACTTAAATATTGATAAAAGTTTGAGATAAGTGCTATACTTAGGTATTTCCTAAATATTAAAAAAAAATAAAAAAAATAAAAAATATGCAAATTGTTATATATATTTTTTTTTAATTGCAAATATCTTGAAATTTATCAAGCTAATTTTAATAATTTAACTATTATTAAAATCAGATAAATCTATTTTACAACTTTTTTTAAAACTAAAAGAAATCTTTATTAGTAAAATCTTTTTTTAATTTTTTTATTTATTTATTTTTTTTTTAAGTGAAGTTTTTTTCTCAGTTCCTTTATTATTTATTATGCAGATTTTTACAAAGTAAGTTTATATAATTTTTTTGAAAAAGTAGAGATAGAGCCACTTTACTTTAGACTTTAATAGCTATTTAATAATCAGTAAGATCTAGAAATCTGTAACTTTGATTATACTATCTTAGAATAAGAGCTTTGGTGCAATAAACCTGAGATATTAGAATAACCAAAAATCTATTTTGCAAATTTTGAGTTGAGAGGTAGTGTGATTTTTGATAGTACTATATGAGGACCAAATTTGGAAATAGAGACCAAGATCGAAGAACCAAGTGATTGGATCCTTAAATAGAAAATTATACTAGCTAAATTTTTTTTTTTTTAGATGTTAGGATGATTTCTACAGCCTGGGAACTTTTTATTAAATACAACATATGTTTTT